TGTTCTACCTACAATCAACACAAACCCAAAAACAAACTGATCCATGTAAAATAACACGGTAAAAATTTACATATTTCGTTACGAGTAAATATAACACGATAAATATTATAATTTAGTGAACATAATTTCAACATTATTATTTATATTTTTAGCATAATAAATATGATAAGAATTAGTAATAGTTACTTGCAATGCCTTAAATAAATAAATATCACACATAGAAATTTAGAAAATACATTTCTCTTCATACACAATATAGACATTAATATGAAAATTAGCACATGTTTACTTGTAACGCGTTACACAAATGAGTAACATATTAACATTTAAACTAATTTTTCTATGATACTTACATATATAATAACATGGAAGTTAACATTTAATAATTATCTCGTTAAGTCAAAAGTTAGATGTACGTTTTTATAGTTATATGTTACAATAAACTTTTAGCATCCTTCGAAAACTATAACTTATTATTTGACTATATATGTTTTTTTTACTCGTTATTATAATGTACATATTAATTAGTTATACAGTATGTGACAAAGGCAATGAACCACTAGTCCTGCAATGCATGAGATTAGTGCATTCGTTCAAAGGGGAATAGTGACTAACAAATGCAATATGAGCTTGAGTAACAATATATGCACTGGCATAACATATTTGTATCTTTTTGCACATTCACGCTTGACAGACTCAAACAAAATTAGTAAAAAGAACAAAGTAACGAAAGAGAAAAGGTAACACTCTTAGGAAGAGCCAAACATTCGATAGATTCATTGAGATTTTGGCTTGGTGCACTTGCTATGATAACAAAAGTAGAGGAGCTTCCTCCACTGGATTGAAAAAGGGCTGAACAATTGTTAAAGCATAACGATCTTCCCATTCTAAATGCTCCCACCAACTGAGTTCTCCTTTTATTTTCTTGATGTTTCCACAAGTAGATGAGCTTATGGGTAAAAAAAGTAGTTGATTACAGTGTATCACTTCCACCTGTTCTAGGCACTTCCAAGCTTCTCCCCAATTGCAAATACTCACAAGGTTTGGAAGATTCCTAAGTTTTAAGACACGTAAATTTGGTAGGAAAGGTTCACGATAAAACAACGCATCATGCAGATTGTGCAACGAGTCACAATAGCTTATCTCTATCTCCTCTAGTTTAGGGATATTCAAGAAATTCTTTTCCTCAAATAGTGTTTGAAGCTTGTGACACATGGTGATCTCGAGTACCTTAAGTGTTTCCAGTCTTAACCCAAGATGTGTTTGTAATTCTGAGAAGGTTTCCAAATCAACACGACGGAGACGAAGTTCCTCCAGATTTGGAAGAAGGTCTAGCCTTCCAGTGGATCGTTTTGATGTTTTAGTGCTTACCATCTTAACCCAAGAATTTGTTTTGATGAAAGCGTTGTCAATCATCATAGATCTCAAATTCTCGAAACTCTTGTTGTTAGTGACCAACTTCTTTATCATTGCTTCGATCCCTTGGCAATGGTTTAGTGCTAGAGAGGTTGTATAATCCAACAACCACCCGATGGACACTTGTGTTACGTTGAGGTGACTTATTGTTAGCCTCCTTTTATCGTGTCTTGTACGCAAAATGTAACGAGAGCCCGCAACAAGTTGGAATTTCTTCAATATTTTGATCCAAGTGTTTCTCTTATTCAAAAGAAACGGAGAAGAATGGAGCTTGATATAAAGAACATATAAATGCTTTAGGCATCCTAGCTCTTCAAGTGTTGCTTGTCCTTTTTGGGCTTCTTCTTGTATGTTCCAACGGTAGTGACTTGATGTCATGTCTAGAGTCTCCAATCTTGATAACCTCGAAACAATACGAGCTGGAATATTTTCAAGGTGAAGTGTTCTTGAAAGGTCAAGGTGTCTGAAGCGCTTCAAACTTTCTAACCCCCTTGGAAATTCCGTGATATGTGTGCCACAAAGATCAAGTTTCTCAAGGTTGGTAAGGGATTCCAGTGAATGTAGTTCCTCAAGGTTAAAACATTCTCTTAACAAGAGAGAATGAAGACTGTAAAGATGCAAAAGAGAGAAACTAGGCAATGATTTCATGCGTGTCCCACTTAGATTCAAGATTCGAAGAGTTGGAAATGCTTGCAAGAATCTCATGGGTACTTCTTCTAGAAGAGGGTTGCCTTGTAGCAGTAAGGTTGTGACTTTTTCGCAGTATTCTTCTGTGAGATCAGGAAGCCTTTCTAATTTATTGTTCATCAAAGAAACTCTTTGTAGAGAAGGAGCAAACTTATCTTGTCTAATCTCTTGCTCACCTGTACCAGCCATGACAAGGGAATGGCAATCATCTTGTGTGGAAGACATGATCCATATGGCGAAATCGCGGACAACATCATGCATCTTAACAGTGTCACTACGAGCACCATCTTCTAACAAACAATAATCCTTTAAACTTTCGACAATTGTAACTCCTTCATTCATGGAGTCCTCGTAGGAACCTTGTTCCTCCATGAATCCTTCAGCTCTCCAATACATCACAAGCTCTGTAACTTCAATGGAGTAGTCTTCAGGAAACAAAGCGCAAAGGAGAAAACAAGACTTTGTCTTGCCTTCCAAAAAGTCGTAGCTCAATTTCAATGGTTGGTATATCTTCTCTTCAATACTCTTGATCCAAGGTACTGATTTACTTAGCTTAGTTAAGACATGATTCCACAACTTGACGTTTCTCTTTCCCCGCATAGCTGTTCCGACTGTGATGATAGCCAGAGGCAATCCGCCACATTCAAGTGAGATAGCTTTTGCAATCGGCTTAACATGATCTGAGCGCACAATCTCCCCTGTATTTTTGCAAAATAATTCCCAAGCATCTTCTTCAACTAAGCAATCCACTCTAACATCAAGATCTGTCTTCATGCTACGACATACCTCTAAAAACCTAGAAGTAAGAATGATTTTTGAACCTTTGTTCTCTTTTGTTCGAGGAATGCCCAAAAGATCCAAATCAATGGGTTTCCAAACATCATCAAGAATGAGAAGAAAGTTTCTCTCTTTTCTCAGTCTAACGTAAATCCTTCTTGCCAATTTCTCTTCACTTTCTTCCATATTCGTATCAATATCCAATCTCTCAGCAATCTGCTTTTGGACTCCTCTTGGATCAAACTCTTTGGACACTACAACAAAGATCACCAAGCCAAATGGTTGAGTAGCACCCTCTTCCCGAAGCTTATTGTTCAACGTCCTGACCAATGTCGTTTTACCTACTCCTCCCATGCCCCAAACACCAATCTTTTGAGCCTCATCGCTTATCAAACCATCTCTAATTTTTACCAACATATTTGACGCCATTGTTTGATGAACAATTGAGACTCCTGGAACATGTTCAACTCTTTCAGGTGTAGAATGTACAGAAATTATGTCGATAAACTCTAAGCCATCTTTCTCAAGCATTTTCACTTCCATGAGAATCTTGCCAAGTTTCCCACTTAGTCTGGATCTCAAGGTCATACCACATGAAACTTTTTTTTCAAGTTTCAGCCTTGCTTTAGGGATAACTTCTTCAACCTCTCTTTGCCAACGCAGTAGCTTAACTCTCAATGGTTTATCTTTGCTTAACAAAGTTTCACGGTCTTCATCCATATTACCCTTAAGCTCTGTTAATCTCTCGAGTGAATCATTAAGAGCTTGGGCGTTTGATTTGAACTTTATGGCATTAGCGACTCGTGAGTACGTTGAGTCATACATAGAACATACAATCTCACCAAAGATAGGAGCCAAACACTCCATGGTTGAGATTTAGTTGAAGATGTTCTAAAGGGATGTCATAAAGAGAACCAACTCGGCAAAGCTAGCACCAACTTCAAGAAAACCTTTAAAATCTGCAATAGTGAAAGATGTTAGTGGTAATTAGTTGGGATTTAATTTAACAAAAAAAGTTGGCATTTATTTTAGACTATTTGCATTGGATATACAAGGAAAACATGCTATTTAGGTAAGTAACTTACACTGTAAAAATTATTATTTAATTTTAATTAAACCCATTATATCCTTACTCTTTACGACACATTCTCTCTCTCATCGAAATTATTTCCTCTCTTTTCTTCTTAAGATTTACTCAGTAGTAGTCTAATCGCAAAATCTTAGAGCCTCGGATAGGAATCTAATCTAGGCAATATCGTCATTCTTTCTCTTCTCCAACAAAATTACACGGAAGAAATTGCTATCTACAAAAAACATCGTTTCGAAGGTTGGGTTAGACTGCTACAGCGACTCAGTTCCAGAAGATTCATGAACTGAGTTAACTCACAAAGTTAACTCGGTGAGTTAGTTTGAGTCGGCTCAGTGAGTTAATTACTTTGTTATCGGCTACTATACTTGTTAGATATTTAACATTGAGTTTTGCTAGTATGTTGAAAGTGTTCACTCATTTTATCCCTACGTTGTTAGAAATATAGTATGTAAACTTTGTTAGAAAGCTGGATAATATAGTCACTATCCGGAAAGTATAACATATTTAAAGAGTAATCTTAATTGTTATCCCAATAAAAGTTTTAAATAACCGGACAATCTATAATATATCTGATGGCGAAGTAGGTAAGAAGCGCAAGGGTATTCAGTAAGTTGGTTGTGTTTTTTAAATAACTTACAGAAAACAAGCCTGGTAGCCGGATAATTAGGTAATATCCAGATAGTATAATAGATTTAAAGAGTAATCTTAATTTTTAGTCGTATACAAATTATAAATACTGGTAGAGAATATGAAAATGAACATGTAAAAGTTGAGTTATCGCATTAAGAAAAATGTTAGAGGTAAAAAAACGGTTGGAAATATGCAATACACTCAAACTCGACTCAGTGAGTCAACTCGGTCTGTCCGAGTTAACTCGAACAAAATCTTTACCGGATCTTCTCTGAAGAGATGATAAACTTCATAGATGTGAACGATGACATAGATGAGTTGGTAGGAACGAGTTTCAGAGAAAAATAAAATCGTCGGCGCGTCATTGTTGCCAACACCATCATCATCGCTGGATAACATCTTGTTCACCATT